CGACGTAGAGCTATTATGTCCCGGCCACCTGTGGTGCCTGTTGGCAAATTTGTACGTTGACGCGATGCAAACCCGCGCATCCTAACTAATCTCGCAGTTGGTTTGACTGCGGATAGGCTTAAATGTGGAGATATAGGCATATATGCATGCAATATGTAAGTGCATTTGCAAGGTGACATAGAAGTATGAGGGGAGGCCAGTGCTGACAAGAACTGAATTATAGTACCAGGACTGGGGTGTCAGTGCATCGCCTCCTCTCCAGCTCCAGGTAGCATCTAATGTTTATGGTCTAGGTTCGGGACTATGCGCATATATGGTCCGCTGGGGCAACAGGCACCTTGCGACAGTGCACTCTGACCCGCTCGTGGTCTAGACAAGGAGCCTCATGTTATTGGAGAGGAGAGGTACACTGTGAGTATGGGTGTTCGAAGGGCAACATGTTCTGTAATTGTGTCTCGAATATTTATAGCTATTTATGTCAATCTGGATATAAGGATGGATATATAGGTTCCAGATACATGAACTACCTGTAGCACTGAATAATACAGGAAGTCTGACCTAGTAAGGGTGGAAGTAGTTCCAATAGGCAGATGTGGATAACACTGGTCATGCGGGCACAAGTCCAGCTATTCACCACTAGACAGTCATAGCTATCCCATTGACTATCTCAGCTCGTGAACCTCGCGGCAAGCGGTGCTAGCCACACGTCACCTGGAGCTGATTTACGGGGTGCATCTAGCACTGATCACCCGTCCCTGACTAGCTCTGCTAGTCGGAGCTGTTGATATCGTGACTATCACGACCTGCCTCACAGTGGCTCCCGTACTTGCGCGTGCAAGCGGTCGACAGGGGACGTACGCTGAAACAGGGCGTGGCGAACATCCGTGGGCTTGGTCAATTTGCACATATTGCATAGCAGAATCGTGCGTCCAAGATATACTGGATGTGTACTGCACAGTGTAAGTCGTTACGAAGTCGCTGGCAATTAACAAGAGTCGTTTGTCCTCGAGCTTGCAAGTCTCGCGGAATCACAGCTCTCGCACAAGCCGAAGGTATTCATCCTCCGGGCTTATGTATTTGGGATCGGCGGGACACCGTAAAAGCGGGGGTACGACACAATTCTCATCGAACGTGTTCAACACCGTGCAGAAAGCAATACCACACTGCTTCAGTTTGCTTCGAAAACTGTCCAATCATGGGGGTGTACCCGACTCTAACAATAGTTGTGAAGTAATGTCAGTTGTGATGGCGGGGAGTGAATGGGAATACCAGACTTACACGCTTGACATGGCGTTCAGGTGAGTGACAGGAGACTGGATATATCAGCCTCAAGATATTGACGTTCATCTACAGATTTCGCCAAATGGATTAAATTCCTTCGATAAACTGTGGCGAGTGTCAGCCCGCGCGTGGTCAGGACGAGCGCCCCCACGACTTCATCTCACAGTGCAGTATAGGAATTGAAAAGCCTGGAGGTGAGAATCAGTTTAAAGCGCATGCTGCCGCATTATGACGCTGAACGAGAACAGACTCACTGTGCCTTGAAGAGATGACAAGTAACGAGCATGGTCCAATACGTGCGCCACGAACGTGGTTTGCCTCCAGGGTCAGTAAATTGGACTTCCCTCCAAATGCATGCCTCACCGTAGTAAATCACATCCTTCTAAACTGCTTCAGTCACTTCAGTTGCCTATGTAGACGCTATGAGTATACTGACGGTGTCGCTTTCGAGCGAGATCATCAGTTTACTTACAGACGCTACACTGGCCGCTGTGGCGCAAATCCCACTTTGACGTCCTGATTAACCGCCCTACCCGATCCATCGCCTAGATCGAGGCCTGTAAGACGGGGGCTGGTCGTGTAGATGTACCGCTGTTAGGTACCAAATGTATTTTACAGCACGCTACATATGGAATCGAAGCAGAAACAGACAAGTTGACAAACAAACAACGGGCCACCTATATCATAGTATATGTATGTCCATCAAGGAATTCAACAATCTATATGGATATGTCGCAGCAGCTTAAGGCTCGTGGAAGGTTCCGTGACACTAGAAATCAGTTTGATACCTCCTTCAGACGGACCCCGGGCCCGGGGGGTCGTGCCTGGACTGGACCCACACCCGACTGCGCTGACTGATACCTGTTATGCCTTGCAATAGGAGCGGGGATGACTGGTCCACAACGCAGGACGTAGTGGGGGATAGAGTGGAAGATGTGCTGATTGACAACTGTTCGGGGTGGTGGGGGGTCAGCAAGCTAGCACAAGCCAAAGATGAAGGAAGAAGTGAATCTGAAGGTCACTTCTTTGCAGGTCCAGCGATTGGGATTGAAAAACCAAACAGTCAGTCGTAGAACATTCGGACGTACTAACCACTAGTAGTGACTAGCATGTAGACTATCACCTTACCCCGCCATTCGGTGGTCAAAACAGAGGACGGAAGCGCCATATCTTCAAGGCTCGGTACAGATAATTGGTTAAATTAAAAGAAACTGTTTCCTGGCATGAACTACAGATACAGTATTCAGAACTAGAACCATCGAAGACATTTGGCTTCCTGACTACTGCCGACCCGAACCGCTCCCTTCTGGCTCCTGGATCAGATTCGGTGACACTACCATCTGCGGTCTGTGGCTAGCCTCGCCCTGTGCGACTTCAGCGTCTTTCTTCTCCTTACTGTCGATATTATGTGCTTTTTGGAGAAACACATGCAGGTCGTCCACTGCAAGCCACAAGGAAAAGAGGAGGAGGCAACGTGCCTTGTCCTCCGCTGCATACATCCATTTTACCCTCTTGTATGGTGGTTGATCTTCAATATCTGGCTCCCCCTCCGCCTCGGAACCAAGAACTGGTATGGCTTCATTCTCCTCAGAAATGTTCCCTACCAAAAAAGTGACCGACACCTCCTTGTTGGATCCTTCTGGCCTATTCTTGGAGGTTCCCACCCCCGGCTCATCACCAAATTCCCTTTGCTTGTCTTCTTCTTTCCTGAGCCTCTGGCTGCTCCGCAATTTGCTCCTTTCTTTCCCTTTTGATCGGACCCCTTGATTATCTTTACCTCCTGAGCCACGTCTCTGGGAAGCGACTACTGCCTTTTGCAAGTCCTCTTTGATGGTGCTCGGTAACTGCAGCACCAGGTTATTTCTGTAGTCTCCCAGAGCGGTCCTCCTAGCGTCATAGTGCACAGAGTAGCGCAGTGTCTGCTGAAGAGAAGATCGTATCCCCTTTATACCTTGGCTGGGTAACTGTCCCGTGCGTATAGTTCCTCCCAGCGCGATCTGGTGGTCTGCAATGTCTTTGACTGCCTTCATATCTATTTGGCCTAGTTTCGTTACCCGGTTTTGGTGACTCAGCATTAAGCACTTCGGCCGATGGTGCACATAATGGACAGACCTTGACCTCATATGGCAATAAAACTGGTTCCCATGGATGCTTGGCTGAGTCCGAAGTGTCTCCCCGTTGCTCCTTTGCACTGAATGGGCTCTCCGTCAGCAGCATTGTGTCCCGCGTCTGGCGGTGCTTCTTCATTCCGCGAGTCTCCCTGAAGTCCTTTGGAAAGAACAGCACAGAAAAGATCATGTCTGCACGAACACCTCCAGCCATGTCTCGAGGGTTTTTACCGCTCCAGAGCTCTGACTGAAGTTGAATAAATACCTCCTCATCTGGAAGGGCAGCATCCTGCAGGCACTGGGAGATGCTGATGTTCTTATTCTTTGCAGTTGCTTTGGATGCTGTATGCGTGTTCAACTCCAACAACTGCCATAGTGGATGCAGGAGCTGTGACTCCACCGCCAGACTGAAGTGTGTAAGCTCTTAGCCTGTACAATTTATATATTCACTTACACTGTTGAGCCTTCACTTGCAATAAACTTCGATGTAATGGCAAGTGTTTGGGGAGCTATTGTCAAATCTTTCAAGATCCTTCTAAACTCCGGGAAGCGAGGGTGACTCTGGAAGTCGAATTGTTTCTCGTGCAGCCGATAGTCCGGCAGGACCACGTTTGCCCATTGAGCTGTGACACTCTTATCCCTCGCAGCTATTTTCTGACCCCTCTGGAACGATGCACCATATGGCGGCAGATATATGGTGGGCAATGGTGAGTCTACGAACAATTCCGACACACTGGATTCTTCAGCCATAATGCAATGGAGTGGTGAGGGCAGTGGATCAAGTGAAGTAGTGTCAAATATTGGGCTACTAAGGCGTTTTATACCAGGGAATGCAGCCGTGTTTGCCTAAATGAATTTTTGCCTCGGGTACGCAGGAGTTAAGATACAAGGGGTGTTGCGACTCGGAAGCTGAGTGACGACACGACCGGTCGGCCACGCCCCAAGTTGAACTTGCAGCAGACATCATAATACAAGGAGGCCTTATTTTCCGAGGATTTAATGGCTGTCCAAAAGACAACAGTTCCAGGATGTTTGTGCGACATGCTAGTACAAACAAATGTCAGGCCCGATGTTGCGAGCGGGTCGGTGAGGCACACTTACAAGGTCTTGATTGTTTTTCGATGAGTAATGAAATAACATGCGCGGGCCTCACAGCTGCGATCCACAAGATGAAACCTCTACCTCCAGGTTGTGTTACATATCTATTACAGAACCGGCGATTATTGTATTCGAGAAACCCCTCGCCGTTCTCACCGAGCCATGTATTAGCCTCTCAGACGCGTATGGATTACTGGCACATCATCCGCGTGAGACAAGCGCCCTGTATCAGCTCGGTTCCTTCGGCGTTAACAACACATGGCATCGAAGCACCTTTTGCCGAAGTCGCCACAAATACAGTATCTTGTGACTTAAAAGCGTGCTTTCATGAGCCTTCGTAGATCACCAGAAACATGGCTTCACATCCTACCAGCGAACGGCTCACTTTCGAGAGGCGCGATGGCCGGCTCGGACCTGCTATAGGGATGCATACGGCATTTTCCGGGCTGCCCGCCACATTTACAGGCAGCACCGGCACAAAGCACCGTGGCGAACATCCGAGGCTGGTCTCCCCACGGGCCTACCTGTCCTCCCCGATTTCTGCAAGGAAACGGGACGTTGGGCTACAGTCGCAAATCGGCGCTAGCTTCAGAATCCTCGAATCAGATATCTCAGGAAATACCGAGGGCAGGGATCCAGTCGCCGCACTGGAAGTGTACAAGTGGCCACAGGAGTTTGACCTGTCCTATGACTATTGCTTCGACCTCGTACTTTTGAGGCTACGATCCTCCCTCATCGACTCGAGTGGAGATACAGATTTGGCGGACCATAGGTACGTCTGTTACCTAGAGTTTTTTCCGGCACTCTGATGAGAACTATTGGTAGTTCAATTCTGGCCAAGTACATCGACCCTGTTCTAAACTTCGTGAATCGGGACATATTTGACCCACATGGTGCGAACGGACCGCTGATATACAGAGAAGTGCAGACTGGTATAGGATAATTCTCGCTCACTTTACTGGTTTTTGTACTGATGGTTTCGTCGACAGGTACTTCTCGAATATTTATTCTGGGCTTCCATGTCGATCAGCCATCGCGAGACTGGGATCCTAATCCGAAATGGGTCAACAGTCCTAGCGAACTTACAATGAATAAGAGAGCCCTGACAGTGGGCATATTCCTTGTAAGTAGTATGCATCAGAGATTCTGACAGACATACTTATGAAAAATTTCCGAGGAACCTGGAACCATTCACAAGATGGAATTCAGCAGCGATTCATATCCTTTGATACTTCCATCTGGTAGCGGGATCGGAATAGCAGTATCCGAGCTCATGCGCTTATGTGACGTAACCGGGGCATCTTACGGCTTCCTAACAGACGAGATAACTTCCGTCATCTATGACAATACCGAGCGAATGCCGTCTAACTGCGCCGTCCTCCAACTCATTGATACATCAGAGATGTCAGTTCGGCTGATGCTTGCCAACATCCTATGGATTGAGGCCTGCCGATTTGGTGTGAACACAAGCTCTCTCTCCCGCCCAACAAGTCGGTGTCATGGAGCTCTGCAAAAGCAGGTCGTAAGTCTACCGGATGGACAAACAAAGGAATATGTACTTTTCGAAATGGCCGTTCACCCGGATCGAGGAATCCTCAAGAAGACATTCTCCCAGTTTGACTATTACACCCTGCAGCGTTGCCGGGCGGCGTGGAAATGCTTCCTCGAGTGGAAGAGGGCCGTGGAAGTCGAGGCAAATCACTCTCCCCTAAAGCCTGGAATGAAGCTGAAGATTGAATGGAGGGGCGTCGAGAAGCGCTACACGCTCTGGCGTGCCGAGCTTGACGTATATCATCAACAAATACCTGAGGAGTCCTCCGGCATTGCGACACAATACACTCGCCCAAAAGACAATCCACTCAAAGGTTGCATCGAGGGGAACTCATCTGAGCTTTGGTTTGACGTAGCTGAGGCTAGAAAGATAGGTCCTCGACGATTCTCTCAGATACTCTTCGGGAGGATATGCGGCAAGGGACCATTGCTCTGTCTGAAGCTTTTTGATGAGCGACACTTCCCTTATCCCGATGATTCCGACAACCCAGACGCACCAAAGGTGGATTGGGGCGCCCCTCCAAGCCAGCGGCTGTTGGACCTACACTTTGCGGTGGACATGGTTCGGCGTGAGGAATCTGCATTTGATCGGCTCAAGGACTTCCAGGGTTCCCTGATTCCGCATTTCTTTGGAAATCATTTCGTGAGTTGTATCAAAGTATCATTGAAAAATCGTCGTTAACCCAGTCACCTAGTTTACGTTGGCGAACGATTGGGTATTTCCTGGAGTACTCATGGAGGTGATCGAGGGCCCTGTGTTTGGGGAATGTGACGTCGATGGCTGGACTACGGAGGAGCAGCGGAGTTTTGTATGTTGGGTTACGCAGCGCTGTCCCCGTGTCTGACGCTCCTTCCCAGGTTACCCATGTACGGCATGGTTTACGGGTGCTGAAGTTTGCCGGAATTGAGCAGACGGACTGGCATGAGGGTCAGATCATGTGTCCTTTGAATTCTTTTGGCCAGCGGCATGCTGTCTTCATGGACTTCGCTTTCGCCAATCAGCGCTTGGGAGAACACAAAGGGAAGCCAGTGACGGACGATGCGGAATGGCTCAAATTACTCCTGACAGACTGCGGCATTGATGAAGAGGTCATGAAAGAGTGTTGGTTTGACTTGGTAGATGAAGAGAGATAAGACTATACTAGACACACCCTGAATAACGAACAATATCTCGTCCGAGACAGTTATGCATCTGCTATCTAATCTGAAGACCAAATAGGGCGCACTCTTCAGCGGTAGTGCATTGAGACGTTGGCGGACTTCGCGACATGATTCGGCATGGAGTCGTACCGGACTCATGAAAAGCTCAGGCAGAGCATATATACGGTTTACCGCTGGGACATCGTTGCACCTTGTATCCCTTGAGGTGAGGATGGCACGCATTCAAGTTTCAACACAAAACCCCCCATGTCTTTGTGGTATGTACGCTGACCCACGAGTACTATTCATAGGGATACAGAGGCTAAGGGAAATCCCTCGGTTGATGTGTAGTATACGGGGACGGCTCAGTCAGTACTAAGACTGCTATCGGTAGACTAGTAGACAAGTATAATTTAGGTGAGGGTGTCGATAAGTCGGCTGCTAAGGAGTGAGGGTTCAGAACGTGTGCTCAGCGTCTTCAGCTCCGCAACGCAGCATAACAAGCTTAGGGCCCTCCTTGGGTATCCTGTCGACCATCTCCCGCCAACGAGGATTATATGGCATATTCCGCAATGTATCGACGGTGGTTCCAGCGGACGCTCTGGTCAGCGTGTGTACATTGTAGACAAGCGAAGGAGTAGACATACTGCTCCACAACCACGGCTGCACGCCCTCGCCGACCAGCAGATGCATAATCGGCACAATACTGCCCGTCGCGTCCATTTCTGCGAAGACATCCTTGTTATACACCTCGCCGTTGTCGAGACCCATAACAGCCTCGATATCGCTCAGCACGGGCTTGATCCTAAGCACCCCGCTCTACCTGATGCGGAACTTGAACCGCGGGTCCTTATTTTCAGGCGTCCACTGGACGCAGCTGATGCTGATATGTGTGCGCCTGCGCATGTGTACGCGATGCTTCACGAGGCGGCGGACTTTGGGTTCAGCCAGACGAAGGCGGAGCAGCGAGGGTACAAGCACGAGCTCGAGACGTGTATCAAGGCACTGAAGGAGATGAAGAGGCACGGGATCAAGGTCCTCCCCGGAGGGTGAGCACGGCTTTTCTGAGTCCGGTAGAGTCCTTCATTCCTAACCAACGAATAATAGAGATCACGGCTTCGCCTGGACCCCACACGGCACGTATGCGCGCGACCTCGAGCACTTCGTCAGGTCCTCGACTTCACGCCGATGGAGGCCATCCAGGCAGCGACGACGGGCGTCGCCGAGCTGTTCATGCGCTCGCACGAGCTCGGCAAGATCCTCCCTGGGTACTACGCGGACTGCATCCTGGTCGACGGGAACCCACTGGAAGACATCGCGGTGCTGCAGGACCACGACAGGCTGAACGTCATCGTGATCAATGGGCGAGTGCACAAGGTCAGCCCTGCAGAGTGGCATGCGCCGCCGGTTATGGGCCAGGATGGGAACAGGCATGTTATTGTGCCGGACTTTCCGGAGGTGAAGAAGCAGTGGCAGTTCAAGTTCCAGGACTGAGGAGGGCGGGATCTGTGTTGGTACTTAATGTCAGCAGGCGCTCAGGATGTATGATTATCGATGATGTCAAGGACAGTGGCGGCTCGATTTAATATTGAATCGACCATGTCTTCGCCATAACCTGCATTGGGAAGACGCACCTGGGCTACAGAGGAAGATATCGTCATCTGAGTGGACTGTTACCAGTCGCGACAAACCCATAGCTTCAAGTCCGAGTTGCTGATAGCGAGCTTCCCGATTCCACAGAATGCAGAGCAGATATTCTTTAGGCTGGCCGGCGCGAAAGCCTGCCACCTTGCGGCCAGTGATGCTGTTCATCAGCATCCAAATCCAGATATCGATCGGGAAGAGAAGATAGAGAAAGGAATGAACACGAGATTCAAGCAAGGAAAGAAACAAACGGACCTGCTCCTCATTGTCCTGCTTGAACGCGATTGGCTGCTTCAGCTGGGCAGGCCGAGGTAAAGCTCACGTTCGGAGGCGACGAGTGGGGACGACTGGATTAGTATAATCTAAGTATGAGTGGGGATTCTACATGTACTATACACGGTGAGCGGTGGAGAACAACAAGAGGACAGCACACAAAACACCTACTGATGCAGTTTAAACCAAGTCCCAAGGGTATAAGTGAGCGCTAGGTCAAAATCACCATCCCAAGCTAACAGAGAATCTTCGCAAAATACGCCTGCACACTCCCCGCCCCCCTCCCGATCGCCCCAACAAATCCATCAGGGCGCACAACAACCACAACCGCCTCGTGCCCCGTCGTCGCATGGTCGACCGAGTACCCCTCGTACGCGTGCCGGTCCGCGTCCTTGAGCACCCACCCCGCTCCCGGGAGTTCCGCGTCCTCGCGCACGGAGGCGAACGCAGGCATAATCACCACGGACTGCACATGCGCCGCGGGGTACGCGCGCAGCGCCCCGAGCACATTATCCGCCGCCGAGTTTCCCTGCGTGAACACCAGCACGGTGTGCTTCGCCGGCGTGAGCACGTCGAACAGCGTGCCCACGCTGCCCTTCCTCAAATCGAGCAAGTGCGGCGCGTCGGGCGCTCTATCACCCGCCCTCACCCGCCCCATCGTGCCGAAGGTGTACACATTCACGGGCGGGTCCGGCGCGCCCTCGCGTTCGGGGTCGTCCTCGAGCGTGATCGCGCTCCCGCGGTAGTGCACGTCCAGCTGGAAGAAGCGCGCGCCGCGCTCCCACGCGCCCTCCTTGTTCGCGAGCGCCTTGTCGAGGACTTCCGTGGTCATTGTGAGCATGTTCTTGATCACGGGCAGGCGCTCGGCGGTGTAAGACGCGAGCAGCCCGGGCGCCGCGAGGTTTTTGTGCGCGAGCGTGAGTTTCCAGGCGAGATTGAACTGGCGATTCAGGGAGAGGAGTTAGTCGGGAAGGGAAGGGTAAGGGGGGGGGGGACGTACGGCGTCCATGATGCTGCTGTTCATTCCTTGACCGCCAGTGGGGCTGTGGACGTGCGCGGCGTCTAGCCCAAGGTCAGCCAAGGGCGGAGTAGTAATGGGAGGGGGATGGCTCGACTCACCTCCCGCGATGAAAACTCTGCCCTTCCCGAACTCGCTTACCATGCGGATATTGAACCTGCAAACGCCCTTCAGTACCGCAAAAGCATAGACTTCAAAGATACGGGCGCCCTCCAGCCTCAAGACTCACTTGACATACGACAGCCCCAAAAACTCCGTGATCTCGATCTCCGGCCGGCCCGTCACCTCGCGAACGTACTGCTTAAACGCGTCCGTGTCCTCGACGAAGCGCGCGTAGTCGCGCGTCGCGTCGAGCCCAAAGGCGATGATCCCGAACACGTCGGGGTCGTGCGTGTAGCGCGGGAGGAGGGAAAGGCTGCGGAGGCGTGGGCGCGGGGGGAAATGGTTAGGAGGGGACTAGCGTACGCGGGCACGTTGCCTTTCATCCAGCGGTTCCAGTGCTAGCATACAGTGAGGAAGTACTGAGATGGCGGGTTGTATGCGGCATGCGTGGGATGGACTTACGTCCCGCGAGACGCCGCGCACGCGCACGTCCCCGAGGACGGCTGTCGCGTCCTCCCGCGTCACACCGGCGAACTGCAGCCCGAGCGCCTTGCGCACCACACCTGCGTCCGGAGGCATCGGGATCAGTATCAACATATACTTGTACTGTATCGTCGACGGAAGCACTGACCTCTCGCGCCGTCCGCGCCCACGAGGTAGCTGGCGGTGAACGTCTCCTCCGCGCCGTTCGGGCCTTCTCCGGGTTTGACGATGTGCGCCTCGACGCGGTCCGCGTGCTGCGCGAACGCGCGCAGCTCGGTCCCGAACTCGACGCGCACGCCGTGTTTCTCGAGGTGCGTGCGCAGGACGCGCTGTGTCACGTCTTGACCCAGCACCCACATGTTGTACTGTGTACATGTTCACCAGCCGGATACATATATGTTCAGTCCAATTGTGTCCAAGGCGAAGGACGTACGAACGGCATGCCCGGCGTGGGGTACCCCCGCCCGAGGTTCTTCAGCTCTTTCGCGAGCTCGGTGCCCTCCGGCGGGCACTTGTAGATCCTGTTGTCGGGCACGGGCGTGCCGAGCCGCAGGATGTCGGGCAGGACGCCCAGGAACTTGTATACCTCGAACGTGCGCGGCTAGATCCCGCAAAAAATGCCATCAATATGCTGTATATACGAGATAGACGTGGAGGTTGGGCCGTACGTGGGTGCCTAGCGCGCGCGAGCCGGTGAATGGCTTGTCCGCTTTCTCGAGGATGCGCACGGGTATGCCGTTGTGGCGGAGGGTTAGAGCGGCGATGAGACCCGTCGGGCCTGCGCCGACCTGGCAATGCAAACAATCAATACACTACTTATAAGTGAACCAGCTGAGACGCTTACGACGAGGACGGGGTGGGCTTGCGGTGCCATCTGCGCCAGTACTTGCCTTAGTTTCTTCGGTTAGCTGCGGTGGACAGTCGATGCATGCGCAGCAACCTTTATACTCGATCATGCGGACGAAAATAGCACCGCTACCGCACGAGACGGTAAACGCTCGTAAAATGATTGACAAATGGGAGCGATACACCCAGCGCGTTTCATCAGATAAGATTGGTCGAGTCTTCGTCGCCGACCAGCCACGCATGCGGTATGTAATGTAGCCCAGCCGCTGGCCACCGCTGCGGGTGACGTCGCGCGTGCAGACTTCGTCCGAGTGACCATTGGCGTTTTGGCCTCGTAACATTGGGGAGGCGCAACGCCCGGTTCCGGTGCGAGTTGATTTGTCAGCAGATTGTGGCTGAAAGGTGGTCGCAAGTATCCCCTGTATTCTTGTGCATTCCTCTGTTCCATTCTCACCTTATGCATGCATCAGCAATGTATATCACTACTGTAAACCAGCAAGAAGGGTATTCTACCATTACAGACTGTAGTAGATATAAACATGTCTGTCTCTTCTTATTCCTGAGCTGACCACCATCGGGATGAAATGATGGTCAATTTCACTGAGGTCGGCAAAGGAGTGCTTAGGGAAGTTATGTATTGTCTTTAGAAACATTTGGAACATATCTATGTGCACACCAGTGGGTGCATTCCCTATCCTTGATACAGATGAGCTTGATTTCCAGGAAGCACAAATCTGTGTAATTAATGGACAAAGCAAGTACTGGATCACAGCTGTAAAAGGCTGAATATATATCTCATTTACTATGTTGATTTTACAGTTCTAACATAGGGGAAGGGACCTGCTTCTGCTGCGGCAGGAGAGCCCGGACAGTGACCAGGATATTTGGTGTGACACTTTTTGCGATGGTGTCACAGCTTGTCACGTCCGCGACGCGTTCGGACGCATCATTAATTGCTCTTTACTGCCAGAAAACCTACAGCGTGCTACGTTCACATTCACGCGTCACTTGATTGATAAAAGTTAATCTATATCAACGAGCGGATGCAACGTTGGTTGTACATTTTTGTTAAATGTACTTGCGGTCTCGTTACCTCTATCGAATGAACTTGATATTGGGAAAATCAGAAATTCAAAACCAACGTTGCATCTTCTGTATCATGACATCCCTGCTGGTACATTTTATATGCGTGATTTCGACATGCGGAAGGCTCTATGAAGGCGGGGGATTTGCGACCACTTTCTTGCAGAGTCCAAACAGATGCAAACAACTCGCCGCGCGACCCGGAATTGCGCCTCCCCAGTAACATGCGAAGCAACAGTATATCAACTTAAAGCTGTTTACTGATGAGATATGTTGCTTCGACTGACTGGTTGTGATCGTGAATATCACGGACTTTCGAGGCAGAAGCCTGAGACATCGGCAACTCGAGTGAAGGCCGTACCTTTGAAGTGGCGATGACCGCAACACTGCACGGCATCCGGATCCGCCACTGGCTCCGGAGGAGGGTTCCATAGCCGCTTGTATGTAGGCCTTCGCGTACACACGCCTTAATAATACATACCAGTCGCGAACGCCCAAGCACCCTATCCGCCCCTTCTGATTCGGGCTTCCAAGTATATTATCGTCGCATACAATAAGTACTAAAACCAATATGTGCATATCATATCATATCATTTTCTTCCGTTTGTTCATCATCCTACGTATCACCCCATACAATCAGAAGGGGAACCAAGCGTTATATCCAACTCAACTCACCCTCCCATACTCCAACACTCATAGATGCGTGTTGCAGACCACAACGAAACGGCCTCATCCCCATATGTCCTCGGCGGTAACCTCACCCGCGGGTCTCTGCGTTCGCGCGGCCTACGGTATAGCTCGTCAGCGTCTCAGTGCCACAGAAGAGAGACGAGGGAGAGCGGGGATCGAGCGAAAACAGACGCACCTGCTCCTCCTCGTCCGGCGGGAGCGCGATCGGCTGCTTCGGCTTGCGCAGGCGGAGGTAGAGCGCAGAGGCGACGAGCGCGACGGGGTGGAGGACGGTGAATGCGAGGGCGGGGACCTGAGGAAGGTGGGGGGTTAGTAGGGGTTCGGCAGGCAGATGGGGATGGCGAGGGGATGTGGGTGTGGGTGTATGCGCGTCACGTGGAAACGGGGAAACGGCAAGGGGAGGATGGAAAGGAGTAAAGAAGAGGAAGACGGTACTCACCCAAACGCCGACGGCGCGCCAGCGCCCGACCCAGATGCTCACGGCCACCCACACGGCGCCGATGCACCACACGAGGTCCTGCCGCGCGACGATGACGAGGAGGGAGACGATGTTCGTCGAGAGCATGACGATCGCGGAGGGGAGGGCGTGGCGCATCGCCTCGTTGGGCTGCGAGGGCGGGTAGGTGAGGTGTAGCATGATGCTGGTGTGGCCGTAGTATCAGTTCCGAGCGGGCGGAGGGAATAAGGGACGAATACGCACAATATGCTAACCTCCAACCCGATATTCATCACCAATATCAAGAACAACTTCAGCGGCGCGTGTATGAACAACAAATCGAGCGGGCGCTCTTTCCAGCTCGCGGGCTCGTGGTACACCGCGAGCACGAGGTTCGCGTACGCGAGCAGCAACAGCAGGACCGCCAGCAGAATCGTCGAGAGGAGGAAGGCCTGCATCACCCACGCGATCGCCCAGAACGCGACGGCCCAGTTCGCGAGCACGAGCGCGAGCCCGACGCCCTTGAGGAAGGTCTGCTTCGTCGCGGGCTTGCGCGCGGTGACGAGCAGGAGGCAGTACCCGATCTGCGCGACGTAGATGAGCACCGCGTAGACGGCGATGGGCATCTTGGCGGGGGTGATGGGGGTTGGGTGGAGGGACGCGACGTCGCCTGTGGGCGTGTCGGTTAGTGTTGGCGTGCGGAGAGGAGGGAGGGGGGCTCACCGATGCCGGGGGCGGCGATGACGGTGCAGACGAGCACGGTGGCCATGTTAATGACCAGCGAGAGCGGGGTTAGGACTTGCAGGCTAAGTGCGTGGTTCGTTAGTAAGTCTGGGAGGGACTGGGAGACTGGACGCACCGGATGAGATGGAGGTAGTCCCGCACGGCTGGGTGCGACGGGTCTAACGGGAGACTTTCCATGGCAACAGTTCGTTACTGGTATATTCCTGTATTTTGTGTTTCCTGTGAAGAAGGTAGAAAGCCTCGTTGAAGGCGGACGAGGACGAGGAGGACATCTTGGTACGCTGCCAGCCTCGATGTGCTCCATGACATCATATCTGCCCTGAGTTCGTTGGGCTTCACACTGCTACGGAGTCTTTGCTCCTTCACACGGCTCATGCCGCTCCCATGAGTAATCTCATTTACTCAGGACTGAGTCGCATCTCGCACTTCAGCCACCACCTCGGCTCCCTCAACGAATCCACCATGTCGACGCCGCCGACCCGCAACGCCATCCTGAACCTCTACGCCTCGACGCTGCGCGCCTCTCGCGCGTTCAGCTCGTACAACTTCCGGAACTACTTTATCCGCCGCACGAAGGACACGTTCAGGCAGATCCAGGTGCGTTGCACTCCCTCGTCTTCATGCTAGAAAACTAACGTATGGACGCTTCTCGCACAAAGAATGAGCAGGACCCACAAAAGCTGACGTCGTTCTACAACGAAGCGCGCAAGGAGCTTGCAGTCCTGAAACGAAGCGCCGTGGTTAACCAGCTGTATGGCGGGTGGAGGCTGGTTGTTGAGAAGCAGAAGCCAGAGCGGGAGCGGGGGAATAACTAGGATGTCTACCTTAGAGGGAACTTGGGTTAGCTGGTGTTGCTGTACGTCTGTCGACCGAGATGCTTCGCAGCACGACGATCGCTGATGACAATGAACGCTGGCAGTGTATTGTATCCCTTGCTAATTGATGTACAACAGACATGACGTTCGCATCCTTCTCAGCGCACAGACACCCGCATCATCGGCGGGTCGCACTCACCCTCACGACATTTCGCCGTTCCGCCCGTAACTTGTCTTACCTTTTGCGAAGTTATCATCATACATCAACCACTCAACCCGCATCATCAAACGGGTAGATGTACTTTTTATCTTGTTGACGACACCCATGAAGTTGGTTCTGTATATGCACCTGTATCGGATTTGCATAGATGGTATCGCTGTATGCCAGGGCTTGAATTGCTGGCTGTTTCAAACCCTTGCGCACAGCGTTTGCCATCTCTCCGTTTCCGCGCATTTTAGTGAACAGGTCTACTCCGTCTCGGCGAGTGCTTGTCCGGCCGGCCTCGCAGGTTGTCGCTATTATGACTACACCTACCCTACGCTCCGAGCTTGGTGTGACGACGATAAGCTATCCTGCTTCGTACAGCGAGCTGCTAGTTCGTTACGCATGGACCTACAAGCCGTGGTCTTTCTCACTTTTGCAGGTCACAGCACTTCTGAGATGACTTTGCTTGGAAATGGAAGACTCTAGTTGACATTTCTGTCTCGGTCCCGAGTGGGCAGCAGAAATCACTATATGCTACCTCATTTTCCACATGAGTGGAAAATCTACACAAATTACACATGGCGACAGCAGTGAGCCGGTGAGCAGTTTAATACCACCCGTACCAATCTTAACATGTTCCAGGGGTATATGCGCTCCTGCTAATCCCTCAACCGACGATCAACCCAAGAAAATATCCCCTTAAATCGCCCTCCCGTCCCAATCCTGCCGATGAACCCATCGGGCCTGACAGGAGCCGCGACCGCCTCCTCCATTTCTTACGATGATCCACCGAGGACCCGTCGTACGCGTGCCGGTCCGTGTCCTTGAACATCCACTCCGCACCTAATGGCAGGTAGGCCAGCGCGAACTGCACATGCGCGGCGGGGCCCCGAGCATGGCGTCCGCAGCCGAATTGGCGGGTGTGAGTATCAACGCAGTATGGTATGTCAGCGTCGAACGCAGTCCACAGATTCAGCTTCCTCAGGCCGAGCAGGTGCAGCGCCCCGGGCGCGCTCTCGCTCTGCCCGTCGCGCCGTACGTGTACACGTCCACGCCGGCCCTCCTCCGCCCTACCCTCCTCTGTGCTTACGGTTTGGTGTGAGCCGACCTCGGGTACTCCCGCCTACGGGTCTGAGGTGTTCTCTCACTAACAGATATCAATCGTAGTCCGAGAAAGCCTCTGGACACAAGCACGACGTTGGAAGGCTCAGGACGTGATTCGCCACCCCGCGCAGATACCAACCATATCCGGGCGAGGTGGTGAACGGCGCCTGAGCCGTGTGTGTGGCTTGATACTGTCCTGTCTCCTGCGGGTCGGTCTCACTCCGGCGATGTAACGCTCCATTGCGGCTGGATCACGCGCTTCCTGACCGTTTATGGGTTGAACTCCGAAGCACGGGATGCACCGGCGCCGTGTCCTCCTACGCCAGGAATCGGTGCCCGGATGACATGACCCCGCTCGGCCAACTCGAGGTGCAGTATTGCTTACAGTTTCTAGAGCCTGTGTAAGCGCGCCGGAGTAAGGTGAGCTGAATGTTGAACACGTACCGCGCCATGGACGACAGGACCTGGGTCCTGTAGTAGGGCAGCCTGCGCAGGTATGCGAAGACTTCGTCGCTCACCGTCGGGCTGGTACAGGGTGCCCAGACATGAGCTGACCAAGTAGTGGAGCATTTCGTCAGTGGGGATACTGGCAGAGGCACAGGGAGCACTCACGAGACGCGGCCTCTCGAAGGGGCCGATTTCCGACTGCGGAACGTCCGACTCTGCCCATGAGAGACGACTCCCATAGCATTGTCGTCAGATGGTACCAGCTTGGGATCGGCACGTCCAGGGGAGTGCTGTACCCGTTACCGGGCTGTCCCCGCGTTCACGAAGGACAGTGGCTACAAGAAAAAGAAGCCATGTCACGCGAGCCCGCGGACCCGAAGGCTGGCCTGACTGCGACACGGTACGTGGGTTAGGAGATTGCGCTGACCGGCAATGGCAAGGAGAGTGGACTTACTTTGGGCAGCTGGGGGAGGTGGTCCTGTAGTCTGTCTCGTGTGGTGCAAGTAGAGGTCGTCTTCTCCTCATCTCTGCCGATTGAGATGTGAACTCGAGGGCGGTAGGAGGGGATGTGAGTGATGCCTTACCCCCGTCAGCTCGCCGCTCTTATATACCCGCAGAATGTAAGTAAGCGGCCACTCAGATGCCACCCGAACCGCTATCGCGCTTCAGTGGCACGGTGGGTGTGTCAGCCAAGCGTGGCGACGTGGCGACTTCGAGCCTCGGACACACTGACCTGCCACGCGTGGGTCAAGTGGAAGCTATGACAATAAGGCGTAAGTGGAGGGAGTCAAAACATTAGCATATGTCATTGTATGTGGTCTTCACGTTTGGATACCACTGGCTTTCAGGAAGGTGCACTTCGAGCCACGAAGACACTGTCTGACGTCTCACATGCCACTCGAAGGCTATTATCTGAGACACCTGCTATAGAACAATGACACAGGTCGTGCGTGGCTTTCCAAACAGTCAAAGCGGCGTGACCAAGAGTAACCAGAAAGGACTATCACGCAAGCGTGGTTGAGCATCACTTTCCGACTCGCTCGGGAGGAATACATTCGGTGCGAGGTGGAGGATGGTGAGGCAGAGTCTTGTAACGTATCAAGCACCCTTAGTATGCTTCTCTATCGCCATGCATCCCTGTCTAAAGCACGGAATTGGGTAGCTTGAGGGATAGAGTAAACTCACACTGACATGGGCGAGAACTTGGGAGTGCCGAGCCGCAGCTGAAGGCCGACTCAGTGGTGGACTTGACACGACAGCGCGTTATTATGGCCGAGTGTACTGTTAGTGTGAAAAGAAATATAGCGATGAAGCAATGGAGTACTCGCACAAGGAAAACATTTGCAAGAAGACTGCCAGCGAACCGCCGTGGCAGCCAATAGCGTGTCGCCAAAGTTACACCTCAAGCTCGGTATTCTCCGACCGTTCCTCACTTCGTGCCAAACTTCCTTAGACTCAAAGCCAGTGCTGGTGATATTCACTCCTGGTCCCCACGGAATGCCTTCGGATGCAGGGCAGCAGAAAAGATATTTCCTGTGCGCAGCTTTAAGGAGGAGGAGTCAACTCCGAGATTACGATCGACCTAGTCGTGGTTCGCGCGAGGGGATTCAGGCTGCCACGACTCCCAACTTTCGAGCTTGCCATTTGCAAGAGCTGTGGCTCTGAAATTGCTTTTATTTTGTAGACTGGGGCTGCACTACACTTCTCAGTCCAGTTCTTTTGTTGGGGGAAGCAGCATCCTACATGCAACGGCATATAGCTTTGCGGCTGGAGTGCGGCTGAGGATCTATTGGTACGTACAGTAGCTTCTGTTGCCCTACATCCCTCCCCATTCCCACCACAACGTCACTTCGCAGTGATATCCTGTACACTATTAGCGTACGATGCGCTCACGGCGCCTTCAATGGTATTCTCAGTGTTTTTCAATGAATGGTACACACGTGTACATTACAAGTCATGGATAATGTTCATACAATTCCTCAATTTTACATTATCAGATTCTATTGAGGTGTATTATCATGCGGTAAACTGACTCAGCATTGTTTCAGTCTCACTTCCGCGTCCTGCAGCATAGATTGTAGCATGTTGTATGTAAGGTCCAACATAAGGGCAACGCCCTCGGGACCATAATTGGATTCAAAAAAAAAAAAAAAAAAAAAACTGACTCAGCACTGTATATGTCCAGAAGAGACTGCCAGGCGGCAATACTATTGGGAACATACCCATTACCATATCCTGAGGGAAGGCAGCGGCGAGACACCATCTGCCTATTAATAGTTAATCATGTATGGACATGGCCGAGGTCGCGATTCACCACCTCGCTCGAATACAAGACCGTATTTGAGCGGGGCGGTGAATGGGACCGAGGCTGGATCACCTTGATTTCTTTTGGTGGGTGATATAGTTTCACATGAAGGTCCTGGACACATGATTAGCTGCGGGATGCCAAGAAGTGTGTCTACTGTAAGCTCACCAGGAAGAAATGGTCCCTCAAAGTACCACATGTACAAGGGTACACATGTCATCCACGATGTCGCTACAGCATCCCGCCAGTCCGTCTGCAACGTCAATGGGGACACAGTTCGCACCCTGATGAATATCTGTTAAGTGCTTCGAGAAGCGGTGTCCTCGTAAGCTATGCTGAGATGACGACACCGAGTAATCCGAGTGCCGCCAAGTTCCCACCTGCCTGCCAATGTCCGACTCATGCATACCCAACATTCGTCCAGGCGAATAAGCAATGCTGCCGCAGGTGTCAGTAACACACGCCTACAGACAGTAGGCTTCATGGGCTTGGTAGCGGTCCTTTAGATATCATAATGAGAAAGGTTTCGATGTAAAGTTGGCGGCAGACTAACCGTGAATAAGTCACAGGGTAGGCAAACCGCCGACGCCTATGCACTGGTCTTCAAAGATGGGGGCGTGGGCCCGGAGTAATAGGGCACTCTCATCATAGAAAGGCCCCATGACATTGGAGAAAGACATCAGTGATCGCTGTGTCTCTCGAGAGTCCAGTCGCCCGACACGTCGATCGAGGACGACTATGTGGGCTGTAAGCGCAACTACGAGCTCGACGTAGTAAGCGACTGACCTGTATCCACTGTCGGGTCTTGCACCTTAGTACGCTACGGCCTGGGCGTCGTACCATTGCAGACCTCGAGACGCCCCGTTCGAGTGTCTTGCAGTCTCTAAGCCGGCGATAAAAGGGGAATCGCCGGGCGGGTGGTCCTGTATATCTGTCTCATGCAGCGCAGAGCGGACTCTTAGTTTCTTCATGTTCGCTTAGCTAAAAAGAGAGCTCGAGGGGAAGTGTGAGGGGAGTGCGAGTGATGCATTTCCCCCATGATCTTCCAGGTCTTATATACCTTGGAGGACACAGTCAAAGCGTAGCACGGGACACCGCTAAGGGTAAGCTGAGTGGCATATTGCATATTGGGATTCAGCCAAGCGTGGCGGCGTTGCAGCTCAGAGGTTTGGAGGCATTGTCCGATTCAAGTGTGGCAGCTCAGACGCACGTTAGAGCCATCGCGACCGGGAGCGTTTGAGATAGCCAGATCCCAAGCCAGTGTTATTACTGCCTATGCCACAGCGCTGTGATATCTTGGCCTCCGGAGAGCCCACTTCCAGTTGGATCGAAAAGTCCTCCAGAGTCGAGGCTTTCCATGTATTAAGTACGACGTGCTCCATGATCGGTGGATTCTTATATCTTCTTGTGCAGTTAAAGAGGACTGAATCAAGAAATAAGTCTATATTAGACTATATAAAACGAATATTGAAAAGTGTGACGATCCTGAAGTCTAGTGTCGAAGTTTCAACGCCAATTTTGCGACAGAGCAGGACCCTACAGTATTTATGTTTGCCTGCCTCACAGATCAGTGAATGTTGTACAGCAGGGATTCAAATTACTTGAATACATACACGAGAAGGGAACAATAAGTTTCGGGGCGTTGAAGTCAGACAGCGGCAGTTAGAACAATAATTATAAGAGAGCATCAGCAAGTGGTGGCGGCAGCCAATAGCGTGCCGCCCAAGTTGGACGGCACGACTTCCCGGCGTTACTCCGATCTTTCCCATGGCACGCTCCATGGCACTCTTCATCTCGAACTCAGAGCAGGGACTGCTCGTACTGCACTCCCCGGGCTCACCACACACTGAAGCTGGTTGCCGAATTTTGGGGGACGATACGAGCGGTTCAGGTCTATCTAATAGTCTCTGACTGAAAGTCTCTCTGGCGTGAAGTGCTCTGCATTCAAGTTCGTTCTACCGTTAATCGAACCCTCGAAATGAGCTTTCCGACGCCCGTCCCTGCTGCGCGCACGACTGAGAGCTTCAGAGACAAAGCAATTCGGAAGTTTAAGGAGGAGCCGCTGGTCCCCATCGGTCCGTCACGTTCTTCTCTCATCCTCGTCCAGATCCATGACCCATATATTCTCCATTCTATCGTACTACCAGGCACTCTCGCAACATGCGTCGCACTCACAATGGCGACTGTGAAAATGCGCTCCGGCCAGCCTAAATCCTTCAACAATTGGCTGCGTGTGCGCATCATCGCGCAGGGCCTGACCATTGCCGCCGTTGTCGCTGGCTCGTATGCGTACGGACGCACGCAGAAGCAGCAGGAGGAAAAGGCCCGCTCGGAGCAGGAGCGCCTGCTTGCGAACGCCGCGAAGGAGCGCCAGGAATTCGAGGAACGCCTGCGGGAGGCGGAGGAAGCGCATGAGCGGGAGCAGAGCGCGAAGGGGCTGCTTGGGTTTAAAAGGTGGGGTTCTAGTGGGGAAGGCGATGGTAGCGTGAAGGCCCTGGATGGAGATGCGAATAAGGTATCGAAGCATATGCGGGTAGAAGAGTTGGCGAAGCAGAGGGAGGGGCAGAGTGGGGGCAATTGGTTTGAGTGGCTATGGGGGTCTTCCTCAAGTGAGGGAGGGAAAGAGGAGAAAAAGTCGCCATAGCTGTGTCGACGCGTTCCGGTATGATGTCGGTCCGCTTTTACTGCATCGTATATGCTATTCTCTCCCGACGACTATCGACATGCATGTGGTCCTGGTTAGTTATACTCACTGCGGCTCGGCCCATCTTCCACTCCTGCAACGAATACTCCTGGATCGCATTTAAGGGCCACTAGTCACCCTTCGCCATGCTCGCCTGCAAAGTTTGTGTACATCTGTCTCATCTGCCCTACTGTGCGAGGAGATGTTACTCCCACATGTTGGCAATCACTCGCAAAGTAAATACGCAGGTGCGTTTTTGGCCTCTGTTGTTCTCGGCCTGGAGGGCTCCGTCGTCATCAAAGACCGAACGTTCCTGGCTTCCTTTTGTCACAGTCACACGTTCCGCAACAGACTCGCAGGGAAAGGGACGTCATGTTGGCAGCTTCTTGGCTTTGGCAGTGTCGATGCACCTTGTGGAGTTGTACATGAGGCCACCTGGACCATTTTGAGGTGATAACGTCTTGCAACAGGTGAGAGGAAAATGTAAGCACGTCTGACCAGGCCACGACTGCTCTCCTGCATCGTTCGCTCTCACATACGGTGGTTAAGAAGGTATCGAGGACTCACCTGGGTTTCCCTCAGGTACTCTCATCCTGAAAAACCGTCCTCCTTCGACTGGACGATCGCCTTGGATAGGATGTCCACATTCATGCCTCTATACCCGTCCATGGCTTCCCTTGATTCCGAGAGTACTTCATGAACGCTGAAGACATGCAGTAGGTGCCCGCGTCTCGGGAGGCTGCGATCAGGGCCTGAGGAGCAGTATCGGCGGAGCAGTCGCCACTTGCCTTTTGCTTCAATAAGAGCGGTATATGCACAAGTCGCAAGTCCAAATCGTCGCACGGTAGAGGCAAATCACACTAGGTTGGTAAATTTGCTATGCCGCCCTCAGGCTGCTTGCCTACGGAGGCAGATGGATGATCAAATATACCAACTGTACAGTGTTCCTTGCACTCCCAGCTCGAGCGTCACCCTTCCCCCCCTCAAAGAGTGTCTTTGTGCACCAGGTGGACCTGTGTCAATACAAAGCTACCAACCGTAGGATGCCACATATGGACCATACGGCAGTCCAAACATGGCCCCTCCAGCTCACGCCGTGTTCTTCGCAAGTAGCCAACTAACCATAGTTTCTCTGAATTTGTTTGACTTCGCCTTCCAGGTTGGCGCAGGACCAATCGGTCGCCGCGGCCCTAACCCTCCGCCAGAGTGGCGTACCCGTACCATCATCGGGAAGAGTCCCGAGCCACAGTATACTAGTAGTTCTCGAGGCGCGGGGAAACAAGCACGCTTCCGTACACCGTCGAGTTCCTCTCGTCGCGTCCGCTACCCACGGATTTCAGCTTCCAACTCGATATATAGAAGCTTCTTGGCGTCCTCCCAGATGTCTTGAGGCAGTCAATGGTGCACCTAATTCCGTAACAAGATTCTTGGTGTCCAACTCCGTAACAAGGTGCAATGTACGCCTACAGCCCAGCCCGTGGTTAGGGGTTGGAAAGCGGCGCCCTAGTCGGGTGAGGGAGCTTCGAGACGACCTGAACTACGCCTGCTTCACATCTTTCAATGTCCGTTCGTGTGTGTGTTTGTTTGATTGGAACAAGTTGCCGCGTATCTCTACGCATCTTCAGTGGTTCCTTCCGAATGCATATCGAGTACTAAGCTCTCCGATCCTATCCCCCTCAGGCCCGAGGTATGTAACACACTTGCTAAGTATTTTGTCCCGTCAGCCTGATCATGAATCTAACCATGACCGGTGCATACAGGAAACGAGGATATGCACCCCTTAAGGAGTTCGGTTGTATCCTCTGCATCACCGTGCATGAGTCATATTACGGACAATGACATGCTGCACGTAACACATGCGCTTGGACAAGACCACACTCGTTACTTGCCATCTCTTCAAGGCACAGTGAGTCTTTTCTCGTTCAGCGTCATAATGCGGCGACATCCGCTTCTCACCTTCAGGCTTTTCAGTTCCTATACTGCACTGTGAGAAGTCGTGGGAGGACTCGTCCTGACTACCCGCGGGCTGACACTCGCCTCGGTTTATCGAAGGGGTTTAATCCATTTGGCGAAATCTGTAGACGGACGTCAATATCTTGAGGCTGATATATACAGTCTTCCGTCACTCACCTGAACGGCATGTCAAGTGTGTAAGTCTGGTATTTCCATTCACCCCCCGCCATCACAACTGACATTACTTCACAACTATTGTTAGAGTCGGGTACACCCCATGATTGGACAGTTCGAAGCAAACTGAAGCAGTGTGGTATTGCTTTCTGCACGATGTTTAACACGTTCGATGAGAATTTTGTCGTACCCCCGCTTTTACGGTGTCCCGCCGATCCCAAATACATAAGCCCGGAGGATGAATACCTTCGACTGGTGCGAGAGCTATGATTCCGCGAGACTTGCAAGCTCGAGGACAAACGGCTCTTGTTAATTGCCAGCGACTTCGTAACGACTTACACTGCAGTACACATCCAGTATATCTTGGACGCAGGATTCTGCTAGCAATATATGCAAATTGACCAAGCCCGCGGATGTTCGCGACGCCCAGTTTCAGCGTACGTCCCCTGTCGACCGCTTGCACGCGTAAGTACGGGAGCGCGGCGATCCACCGGAGCCTCCCAGAGTTCAGGTCGGGTTTCCGTCCACGTCGGTATTGCACTCATGTATTGGCAAATTGAAGTTCATGTGAATGTATATACCTATTATTCACCCAGTGGACCTCCGTCCTCTCTTGCCTTTCCCTGGTTCGATGCCACAGATTGTCTGCGTACCGCGCCAGGAACCGAAACGGAGACTCGGAGTTGAAATCGGGCGCCACAAACCTTGTCGCTAATCGCGCTTCCACGCGACGCGTATCTTACGACAAGCATGGCAAATGCCGTCCCCAAAGAACAAGAGTCAGTCGTGCCATTCCGCTTCCCCTCCTCGTCGGCACCGTCTGGCACGTATTCCGTCCCATCTTTCTCCGCTGGGTTCTCTGAGTTTGACATGGCTCGAGTCTGACTAGAGGTCGTTTCTACTGCCTGGGTGCCTTCCGTATACTTCGTTTTGCGTCCCTGGAGGACATCGGAACACTCGTCACCAACTGTACTGTGTAGTGACATCTTCACGTATCGCACCTTAGGCGTGGCACTTGAAATATCTAGACAAGGAGGACTTGGGGCGGAGCGTCCATCTGACCGATCACTGAGAGGCTGGGACCCACATGAAATCCTGGATGATAAGGGGCTTCCGACGTGAGCAGACTGCTACGGAATGGACTGCATTGGCGGAAACGCATGACTGGTTCGAGGAGGTTGAGGACCATCTAAGGGTCCGTCCTAGGAGAAGATCGGGCTCGGATCGCATCTTCTCGCTGTCAATCGAACAACCCCCCGCAAGCAATTTCTTCGATGCTTGTGGCCCAACGTCTTCCTGCCTGGCCTACTTTCTCCCTAGTAGACAACTCAGTGGCGACTTACAGACCAGGGAGACTCACAACGGACACAATCATCTTGCGCAATCAACTTCCTTGTTCCTCTGATACTTGTCAGCAACTGGATATCCAACCATATGCGAGCATTCTTCTGGGCGTCGAGGGACGAGTGCGTCAGGACTAGCTTGATCGAGGAAAATCGGCGACTTCCTCGTAATTCATCCAGGCCGTAGACCCGAGCATGCCATTCTTTCGCTCGAGCTGGTGGCTACTCTGGGCCCTCGTCATCTAGTTGTCGCTATACTCTCTGAGATGCCATTAGTCAACATGGATCTTCTAACATTGTCGGGACAACCACGCACCCAAGGGATCCCTCCTCATTTGACGTAAATGGCTTGCTCTGGTGGCGTCGTTCTGTCGTAGTATCGGCGACTTCCTCCTTTGCAGACGCATATTTACAGCCATGCCTCAGAACTGGCCTTGGTCACCGGGGAGGTATCTAGGGAACATCGTCCAGGAGAAGATTGCAATACGTGCGTCACGAACGTGGTTTGCCTCCAGGGTCAGTAAATTGGACTTTCTTTCAAATACATGCCTCACCGTAGTAAATCACATCCTTCTAAACTGCTTCAGTCGCTTCAGTTGCCTATGTAGACGCTCTGAGTATACTGACGGTGTCGCTTTCGAGCGAGATCATCAGTTTACTTACAGACGCTACACTGGCCGCTGTGGCGCAAATCCCACTTCGACGTCCTGATTAACCGCCCTACCCGATCCATCGCCTAGATCGTGGCCTGTAAGACGGGGGCTGGTCGAACTGCACGTCGACGAACATCAAGGGCAACTGGGCTACAGCGCCATCGCCTTGTCGATGGATCCTTGTAGTCTTCGGCAGCGGCCGGGCTCGGCTAACGGTGCTCAGCGCCTCGTCATCGTCACGCCTCTCAGGTAGGAGGCCCAGCGATATGGATGGATGGAGAGCGGAACACGTCTATTCTGCTCGTACCAGCTGATAGTACAAACGGTGCAAAGAAACCCAGGAGAAAAAGACAAAGAAACACAGAGGTGGCTATCCCCTCTCCGATAACGCTTCGCTACTCGTACAAGATGGAACCAACGGAATATTATACAACTACACTGAGGAATCCGACGCTCTTCCATTCAAGATTCATCCAACACTCCACAGAATCATGGATCCCGTACCGCAAGATATATACCCTCGATTGCGGCCTTCTTGTCCTAATCAGCATGGGGATGTCTCTGCCCCACCCCGCGCAGACGTTGGTTAGCCCGCGACCTTCACCATATTGTCGATTGCTACAGAGGAACAGCTAGCGGAACGGCGGCGGCGGCGGTCATGCGCTGATAGCGGTCGAGGTAAGGGCGCGGTCGCCGTGGCTCTTGTGGCGCCGTCGGTGGCTTGGGCGGCGATCGCTGGAGTTGCGCCTGTGCCACAGCGGCGCACTTGTCCGCGTACTCGCGGAGCTTCCCAGGCGTAATCGGGCGTGTCCCGTCAAGCTTGGGCCATGCCGGCGTGTCTGAGTCCGACCCCGATGCGTGTGGCGCATGTTGCATGGGCACGGCAGTCGCCGAGCGGTCGTCGTCGGGCGGCGTGGCGATGGTAGGCAATTGCTCGGTGGTGGACGCGGGCGAAAGGTTGAGATACGAGTAGGCCGACGCGGATGGTGAGGTCGGCTCGGGC